TGTTATACCTATATTTCCCAAAAGCAGTCGTTTTGATTGCTTAGGAAATTTTAAATAATCAAATGACTCTTATTATTGAATCGAGTAAATTTCTTATATGACCAGTTCAGCACTGTATTGAAATAACATTTTTCATTTTTTTCGATTACCGTTACATGATAACATACAAGTACATGATAAATTGTCGATTTCGGCATATACTAGATAAGTTGCAGTTGCTCAATAAGCTAAAGTAGTACTTGTTATTCGTATCTTTATGTTATTCGTATCTAATATTTTGTTATTGTTAATATTTACTAATAACCTGTTATATAACTGTAAATAATATAAAAAAATATTAGAAATTAATTTTAAACAAATTTCTTTACACATTAGTTATTCTTCCACAATGCAGTCATTTTGACTGCTTTTGGGCAATATAGGTATATACTAAGTTTCAGTTTTTCTAGTGTTAATCCTTTTCACTCGGAGCCGTTCTAACTGTAAATCTAAAATAATTTTTCTCGCTTGCAGTATTATTTCCATATTATGCGACAAAGTGCGTTTTACGAATATGAAATTGCGTCTTGCGATTCGTACGATAGTTACGTTTTCTCCAATTTTTTAAATCGGAACTTTGACGATATCAAAATTATCTTGTAACGTGGTATAATAATTTCAGCGGTGTCTCAGAGTCACCACTCGAGTGCAAAGGGTTAACCTGGCGCTGCGATTAGTCGAGGGTTGTGCGGTATGTAAAACTTCGGTCTTTGTGCTGTAACTCGGGCGAATCCGTTGTGCAAGCAATTCTAAAGAATAGTAGATTCTATTCTAAATTATTTTCTTAATTTTAAATTCTTCAGATTTTTTTTATTATAATTAGATTAAATTCGAAAGATTAATACCCTGCGCTGCAACAACGAGTCGGACTCGCGATCAAGATTTTATACACGACGTGCCAAATACGAAGGTTATTCGGTGCTTCTGAGTCGAAACATGATTCGATTCCTCTGTTATCAGAATCTAGGAACGAAAGTAGCTGAAGACAAAGAAGAAACAAAAATTGTCTCGTTCTGTTGGGAGAATGAACAAGGACGAATACGTGACAATCAACGTGACCGTGAAAAAAATCAGTAACTAAAATTACAAGCCTTCAAATTAATCGACTCAGTTGTGAAAGAAATCCTGGTGCAGACGGATGAGAAACAACTTGAAGATTCACTTCTTCCACCTTTTTGTTTAAGAAACAACTCGAAGATGTTCGCGCTGTTTCGTTCACAAATAATATTACTTCGGGTAATCGAGTCACATTTCGTTGTTTCAATGTCGTCAATCTTGTGTAATGTTTAAGAAAAACTCTAGGTTGTATTAATTTGTCGACCGAATACCGGAAATATTGTGCTATTTTGAAACTGACGTATAACACGCAGAATATTAATAAAATAATTTAATATTCAACTTTTTTTAAATAAGACAGTATACTGCGCTGTTAACGTTAAAATATTAATATCAAGAGTTTTTAATAACCTACGCAAAACACTCGAACGATGCGATAAATTCTTTTACACGACGAAAAAGTTTCGAAATTTATAGGAAAATTTGTATCGGTCCATCGGGCAAATTATTAAGCACGAAAAAGTTGAGTAACCGAATCGAAAATTTTCATACCGATTTTCTTAGCTTTGAAACGCGGATGGCGCTCCGATAAGCTACGATCGAACAGTGACAATCTTCTCGGCGAGAACAATAGACGATAACTCGCAGCGATGCGTCTTCCCCGACAATCGCTTTTGCAACGAACCAGCGGACCAACGAAACTTTCTCGATCCGGATCACATGATTCGGGAGATCTTCCGAGCAGATACGAGATCCCACGCGTCATCGTTTTCTGTGTCTCTCGTTCCTTATTGTGGCTGCGACTCATTTATTTCGAACCGTATTCTGATACTTACGGATCTAGATTGTAGAACCGTTAAACCTAGATCGTGGAACGTTCCACCGAATATGTGTGTACAGGTTTTATGCAACACCGCTTACATTGTCAGAGTTGCTGTATAACAGGGATGGCCAAAGGTCGACTGGTCGACCGCGTGACTACGTATGTATTCCTAGTCGTCCGTCTGTCTGATATTATCTATGTTTATTTGAAATTTAAACTTATTCTTGGGCTTCAAATTACTACTTTTCGATACGATGTTGATAGACCGCCGTCTATAATTAAAAAAAAAAAAGAAAGAAACAGATCAACCATAGTGATCGAAAGTTTGTCCACCCCTGCTGTATAATGGCTAGGCTGCGGATTTTATACAATTTATGAGGAAAGTGAGTGGATGCAATTCAAAATGGTGATTTGAAGAATTTAATGAACATTTCAAGAATTTAATGATACTATTCTATTATGTTTTATCTATTTATGTTTCTTAAGTCCCTGTATCTCGCAATCAAGACGGACAACTTTTATTTTGCACGAATTATCCGCAGTCTAATGATGACCGACGTTTTTCTATTTTCGAAGATCCACGTCCCGTTGCTCGTCATTGCTGCGATCCTGGTCGCGTCGATAGAGTCGAAACCGATCTGGCCGGAGATCTACTTGGGCAACTACCCCTCCGAGGCCATAGGCGTTCAGCAGTCGCAGCTCCTTCACTACCAAGAGCACAGCCCCTATTACGTTTACAATGTAATAAAACCCGAATCCGATCCGACCAAGATTAACCAAGTACAGTAATGTCTCTCTAATTGACACCCAGATTGCGCACAAAAATGAACAATTTGGGAAGAGGAGATACGATTATTCGAGCCTCGCGGTTTAGTTTTATAGTTATAAATTGTCCACAATTATAAAAACGAGCCGCAAGGCTCGAATAATCGTGTCTCCTCTTCCCAAATTGTCCATTTCTGTGGACAATCTGAGCGTCAATTAGAGAGACATTACTGTAATACTCGATCACGAATACAGTAATGTCTCTCTAATTGACGCTCAAATTGTCCAGAAAAAATGGACAAATTGGGGAGAGGAGATACGATTATTTGAGCCTTGCAATTAGTTTTTATAGTTGTCAACAATTATAAAAGGCTCGAATTACAAGGCTCGAACAATCGTATCTCCTCTTCGCAAATTATCCAATTTAGTGAACAATCTAAGCGTCAGTAAGGGAGACATTACTGTATCTTCGTTACATCGTCGTCTCTTTGAAATCTAGGTGCGCCCAGACACCGTCCCCGCTGCTGTAATCGCTAACGGGAAGCCAACGATCTCTCAAATCCCAGCCTATGGTTTATACTATCAGTATCCGTTCTTCGATTTCCGGTACCCAGTGGTTCCGGTAAGTGTGTTCGCTGTGATCAATTCTTGTCGAATATTAACCGTGAAAATGAACGATCGACTCGGTTGCAGCTGGACCCGACAGCGAAGCCGGTTCAACCGGCAGAGCCGCCGAAACCGGCGGAGGAATCGAGGCCGACGGTTCCGACGACCACCCCCGCCGAACCGACCGAAGGAAAAGATGGCGGGATCGAGAAGCTGGACAACAAAGTCGAACCGGAAAGGGATGGAAAGAAATCGAGCGAAACGAGCAACAACGACGACGACACCGTCGTGATCGAGTCGCTGTAAAATCGGTCGCTTCTACGCGAAGCCGGTCTAATGTGAAACGAAACGCTTGTACCGTGCGGCTGTCGTTCGACAGATTTTCTCATGATCCCCCATGGAGCCACTTCGATCATTAACGAACAATAAACTCGACCTTCATTTCTCTAACCATCGATATTCTCGAGCGTCGAACGTTCGTTATTCCAATGCCCAAGCATGTTCCCCTACACAGATATATCCCATTGAGCCAATGTTTGGCGTCGATTTAGCTGCCCGGATAGATTAGTGTTGAAAAAGGAACTTTAGCCTCTGACAAAAATTAATCTATAGTTTACTTAGGACTGAGATTCGAAAATATCAGTTTACATTTCCGCCGGTTCCGTCACCGCGCACCGATGGTGATATAAACTGTATATTATACAGGGTGTCCCGAAAATATCTCGCAATCCGAAAGTGGCGGGTTCCTCGGGTCATTTGAAGCAACTTCTTCCTTTACAAAAATTTTCTCCGAGGCACCGTTAACGAGTTATTAACGACAAACAGTGACCAATGAGAGGCAAGATCAGCTGCCGCGAGGTGGCCGAGCCAATGGCGCCAGCGGTCGAGCGGTCGAATCCCAGCTCAGCTGGCGCGAGGCGGCCGAGCCAATGAGCGGAACTGGGCTTCGTGCGCTGGTTGGTTGGGCCGCCTCGCGTCAGCCGTATTGGATTCTTATTGGTCACTATTTTTCGTTAATAACTCGTTAACGGTGCCCCGGAGAAAATTTTTGTAAAGGAAGAAGTTGCTTCAAATGATCCGAAGAACCCGCTATTTCCGGATTGCGAGACATTTTTGGGACACCCTGTAGATATCGCGATACTTCATCGCCGGTGTCGTTAGAGCCGATCCCAGTATCGCGTATACAACGTAGAACGTGATGAATGACCGTCTTTGATTGCTGGAGAAGACCACACCAAAAAGGGTATATAAGCTGGCGATTTTCAGTCGCCGGCTCGTAGTTGAATTTGGTCGCTCAGTTATTTCGTACATATATACCATCTCTCAAATAAAAGTAGAAATCAAACTTTTAAGAAAAAGAATTAATATCATATTCATTTGAGAAACAATCTAAGCCATAATCCCAATAATTAGAAAGTAGATCATCCTATCGAACGGTATACAGGGAGCCCCAAAAATGTCTCGCAGTTCGAAAGTAGGAGATTCCTGAGGTCATTTGAAGTAATTTTTTCCTTAGCCAAAATGCAATCCGCGGCTTCGTTTACGAGTTATTAACGAAAAACAGTGACCAATCAGAAGCGAGATCATTTGGCGCGAGACGGCCGAGTCAATGAGCGGAACTGGGCTTCGTGCGCTGGTTGGCTGAGCCGCCTCGCGTCAGCCGTACTCGATTCTTATTGGTCACTGTTTTTCGTTGATAACTCGTTAACGGTGCCTCGGAGAAAATCTTCGCAAAGAAAAAAGTTGCTTCAAATGACCTCAGGAACCTTCTATTTCCGGATTGCGAGACATTTTCGGGACATCCTGTATTACTCTCCGTGGCTCTATTGTTTCTGGAGGAAGTACAGTGACCCCGGCGGCGATGCGTTTCGTAAACGCTGCACGTGAATCGAACGAGGCGCAAAACGTAAACAACGTTTAAACCGGCAGGCGATGAGATAAGACTAAGGTTTCTTTGTCGGAGTGGCGCCGCGTCGCGTCGGTTCCGCCATCGATACGGATACGGGAGGTTATTCCGGCCACTCCGTAACGCTCGTCGAGATGCTCTCTGAATCCCTCAATCTTGACTCCGTTTCTATAATTAGCTATCTTGTTGTGCACACTGCAACGAGGAGAACTTTGATCCGAGCAGCGGCGCAGATAAATCCTAGGGTCAAAGATGCGTTCAGTCTTCTAAGCTGGTTCATTCGCGCGACCGGTGTCACGAAGACGGTGACGATCCACGGAAGAGCATGATCGCGACGACGATGAAGAACGCGTTGCTCGTCGGTGTTCTCGCGGCGATCTGTCTGACGGAGACGCGGGCTTACGTGAGTTTCGACCAGGTGAATCTCGACAATAAGACGGAGTCTGATCTACCGAAGAGCGCGGTACCCGGACAGGGCAGCGATGCGACGACGGAAAAGCTGATTCGCGTGCCGTTGATTCGTCGATATCCACGAACGATCGACAGGTCCCTGGCCACGATCAACGAGAACGACCCACAGGAACCGGAGAGGAACACCGTGACCGCCAGACCGGCGACTACAGAGGCCACTCGAGGTGTTCGACGAGGCGCGAAGAGGAACCAGAAGAAGCTGAAGCTGACGCAGACTCAGGGTCGGAAGAAGTCGAAGAAGACGAGACGTCACGTCGGCGCCGACGACAAGCAGGACAACGTCGACGGTCAGAACCATCTGAGACGGTTTGGCGGATCCGTGGCTAGAAGCTACAAGAACGAGGACTATTACGCGCAGAGGCGAGCGGTCATGGAGAAGTTTTACGCTCGGCAGCGCGAGATCGCCCAGAAGTACCAAACGTCCACTACCACCCAGGGACCCTTCAGGTACGATTTACTGCTACCCAATGCCACCACGGAGAACAGCAGATACAACTCGAGAGTGACGCCGTTCATCCCGAACACCAGACCCGCTTCGACGGCGAAGCCGCTGCGATCGCCTGCTAACGACAATTGGCTGTCCCCCGTCGAAGAGGATGCTGACGTAGACACTACCTCCTACGACGACTACGAAGAGAACGATTACGACGCCATCGATGCGGGAAAAGCTACTCCCGTTGCCAGCAAGACGGAAGCTGCTCCCGTTGCTACCAGCACCCTGGCACCAGTAAGTGCGACGACATTTAAACGGCTCCGATATACATAATGCCGTTTATGCGTATCGACGTAGAAATATCGAAGTCTATTCCAAAAATAGTCCTATGCGACTCTGTTTCAAAGTGCTCGCAATATAACGCTATCTGGCGAAAGGGGGGCGATATGATTCTATTTAAAATCGTTGTAAATTCTCGCTAATCGACGCTCGGCTCGGAAGATGTTCAGCCTTATTATGCTATTATACTTATACTATTGTAGTTATTATACTCGTTATGCTCAGCCTTATCGTACGTAGCCTTACTATTACCTTGCGGTGCGTTTTTATAGTTGTTGACAATCGGGGACTATGAATAATCGTACCTCCTCTTCCCACGTTGTCCGTTTTTGTGTATTAGCTGAGCTCGATTAGGGAGAATTTGCTGTACATAATTCGACATCGATCTCTGCTTGTTTCTATTTCGTTCTGTACGACGCGATGACATTCATTTGAATTCTACCGAATTGTAAGGAGATTAGATTACAGATTTTTACTGCAATAGAATTGTATAGAGCGCCAATTTCAAATATAAATCGTGTTCAACACGCTTGTCTAAATAAGAGGTCGTGAGCTCTTCTCAAACAAAATCATATAGGATTGCAGTAAATTCTCTCCCTAATTTTCCTTCATTTAAAATCGTTGTAAATTCTCGCTAATCGACGCTCGGCTCGGGAGATGTTCAGCCTTATTATGCTATTATACTTATACTATTGTAGTTGTTATACTCGTTATGCTCAGCCTTATCGTACGTAGCCTTACTATTACCTTGCGGTGCGTTTTTATAGTTGTTGACAATCGGGGACTATGAATAATCGTACCTCCTCTTCCCACGTTGTCCGTTTTTGTGTATTAGCTGAGCTCGATTAGGGAGAATTTGCTGTACATAATTCGACATCGACCTCTGCTTGTTTCTATTTCGTTCTGTATACGACGCGATAACAAATTATTCGTTGGAATTCTACCGAATTGTAAGGAGATTAGAATCGCATTGAATTTTTACTGCGATAGAATCGTATAGAGCGCCGATTTTAAATATAAATCGTGTGGAACGCGCTTGTCTAAATAAGTGTGCTTGTCGTGAGCTGTTCTCAAACAAAATCATACAGGATTCTCCCTAATTTTCCTTCAGCTTGTAAACAGAAACGGATAATTTGGGAAGAAGAGATGCAATTACTCGAGACCCGCACCTCGTTTTTACAATTGTTGACGATCGGCAGCTATAAAAATGAGCAACAAGACTCGAATAATCGTATCTGCTCTTCCCAAATTGCCCATATTTGTGTACAATCCGAGCGTCAATTAGGTAGAATTTACTGTATTTCCTGCATCACGCTATCCAATAAATCCTATTCTTGTGCGTTCATCCCGTGTACGTCATTTTCTAGAGGAGCTTGTACGCGATCGATTTCTAAAGCGGCGTACAGTAATGTCTCCCGAATTGACGCTCAGATTGTGCAGAAAAATGAACAATTTGGGAAAAAAAAGATACGATTATTCGAGCCTTGCACCTCGTTTTTATAATTGTTGTCAATCGGCAACTATAAAAATGAGCAACAAGACTCGAATAATCGTATCTGCTCTTCGCAAATAGTCCATTTTTGTGTATCATTTCTCCCCGATAACCGAACGGACGATTCTCGTGCGTCATCCTGTGCACGTCATTTTTTAGAGGAGCTCGTACGCGATCGATTTCTAAAGCGGCGTACAGTAGTGTCTCCCTAATTGACGCTCAGATTGTGCAGAAAAATGAACAATTTGGGAAGAAGAGATACAATTATTCGAGCCTTGCTGCTCGTTTTTACAATTGTTGACGATCGGCAGCTGTAAAAATGAACCTCGTGGCTCGAGTAATCGTATCTCCTCTTCCCAAATTGTTCAATTTTGTTTACAAGCTGAAGAAAAGTTGGGGAAAATTTAGCGAATATTGCAAGCATGCTTTTACGAGAAGCTCCTCCGAAATAACGTTATACACATAGTAGCTGTCTTCGAGTTTTCTACACAGCGTCCTTTTGTCTTTCGAATCGTTAAAAAGGATTCGTAGATCTTTATCAAGATTCCGACTCTCCATACAAACCCGGCTTCAAAGAAGCCGCCATTTCGACGACGTCGAAGCGTCCGTGATCGTACAGTGTCGTTCGTCTTCCAGGTGGCCGCCGGCGGGAAGATCACCGAAATCGGTGACTGCGTAAACGTCGAGAACTCGTTGTTCTACCAGCACAACCTGTTGGTGGACGTGACGAAAGGAACGACCGTCGAGACCGACGAGTTGATGGAGTCGATCAACGAGGAGTATTGCGTGGTCTGCATCCGGATCGAGCAATCCGCCGGAACCGAGGGCCGGCTGAAGATAGAAAGATCCGGGAACAAAAGCGTGAAGCTGAAAATCGAGGCGCTGCGGAACGAGCATCTCGCGTTCGTCGCGCGATTCTACACGGGCGACAGATCAACGAGATCGAAGGACTGTCTGTGAGGTCGTTGCGATTACTGACAAATTTATTAACAGATCCTTAAATAAAGCTGCGTGTCGTCGTAGACTTTACGGAACTATGAAGCACCCGTGTCGACGAGGCCCGCGTTAACACGTTCAGCGCCACGCCGGTCAAATATGGGTGACACTAATTTTTCACCAATTGAAAATTCTTTTTCATTGTAATACATACGAACAAACTGAATTCGACTAGAATGTTTCGGATGCGAAGAAGTGTTCTAATATCATCCACTATGATAAATTTGAACTTTCTAATTTCGCTTCGATTAATTAACACGTTGAATGCCACGCCGGTTTTACAGAAATTGTCACGTGGCGCCACGATGAATTTTCCTTTATGCGATACATATAACGTTGAAATATTATCTGCAATAGATAAGTTACAGTGTATAACTATGTTTGACATGTTAATTGCGACAGGGGACACTGTTTGAATCGAGGATGGCAATAATACAAAATTTTAGATATTGACATTTGTTTTGAATTGTATATATTCCTATCAATTTGGGCGCGCCGGTCACCGGTGGGCCCCATGGCGTCACCGCCAAGTTAAGCGCCGGTCACCGGTGACCCCCGTGGCATTCAACGTGTTAACTATATGTTTTGCCGCAGCCCGTATAATTTTCCCTATACGTCTATGGTGTATTCCCGGCTGTTGGGAGTTTATCGATCCGATGGGAACGCGCTTCGTTGCTCGAAGATGAAATGGCCCGTACCGTTCGGACGAGAGCTTGCAAAACTTGCTCTCGTATCGTCGGATCGGCCGCGTGCACGATGGATCGGGTATTCGCGCGAGTATCTAACCCCTCGTATCTTTGCTTTAATCAAACTCTACTTGAACGTGTCCCGACTCTGCGTACGGATTATATCTGATCGGCAACGANCGTTCAGAGAGATGACATCCACGAAAGCCACTATAGTAGCGCGTCGTTCAGAGAGATGACATCCACGAAAGCCACTATAGTGGCGCGTCGTTCAGAGAGATGACATCCGCGGCAGCCACTATAGTGGCGCGTCGTGCCTAAAAGGTTAAGTGCCGGTCACCGGTGACCCCCGTGGCATTCAACGTGTTAAATTGCTTTGATTTTGTAGGAATTTTAGTGGTCGATCGTGGACATTGAATGTGTTAACAGAGCGTCCGTTTATCGATTCCCCTGCCAAAGCGGACGAGATTTGGTCCATCCATCCCCCCTACGAGACGATCGCAGACCGAACCGTTCGCAGACTTCCGGTTCGCTCGCAGAAACATTCCCGTCCTCTGTCCTTCTAGAATATCACGATTACGCGGATCGGTCGGATCTCGGCGGAACCGATGCTCTCGGACCAGCCGATCGACCTCAAGAATCCTTCGGCGCAGCCGTGGGCAGCGGAGGCGGAGGCACGTCGGGCACTTTCGGCTTGTCGGCCGTGGCTGGGTCCTTTCTTTCCTCGTGGTAGCCTGGAAGCAGCTGCCCCGGGTCGCCGTTCTTCGGCGTGGACGCGGGGATTGGGTCCAGGGTGCCGTAGGGTTGATAGTCCACGTAGTAGGTGCCGGGGACCAGGTGCGGGTTGATGCCACTGTACGTGTAGAAGTAGGGGTCGTAGTAGAGCGATTGGTAGTTCGGATAGAAGCTCAGAGGCTGCTCGTCGTGCCTGTTCCTCGGGCCAGGCTTCGGCTGGCCGTTCTCCACCGAGGACTCCACCTTTTTCGGCTCGGGAACCTTTGGAGCATCTGCCGGCGTATTTACCGGTGCATCAACCGGTGCATCAACTGGTAGATTAACCGGTACATCGACCGGCAGATCCACCGGTGCAGCCGCAGCACCCTCCGCTTGCACCTCGGCCCGATTGCTCGGGCTCGGCTCGTTTCGCGAAAGATGCACCAGCCCCGGACCGGGAATTTCCGGCGCCACTTGCGGGTAGTAGATCGGCGGCACGTAACCGACCGCCGTTCGGTGGATCACCGGCTGGATCACAGGGAACGCTCGAGAAGGCGACAGGTTCTGGTTGCTCGTGATCACGGCGTTGTACACCTTCGGCACCTTCAGCAGACCCGGGTGACCCGCTGCTAGGGTCACCACCGTTGCGAACACGATCGGCAGCTGCATCTGAAAGACGTTTCGGGATTTTCGGAATTGTTTTCACAGATCTATTCTACTCGCTGTTCATTCAGCTTCGTCCACGAAAACAGCTCCGCTAGGATCTAGTTCTCGCGATTCGAAAATTTCTAATATATTCGATGTGACGCAACGATAACGGTAACAGAAGTAAAAAAAAAGAAAAAGGAGCGAGCTGGTATCTCGGAGTCTGGATCATGGAGCGAGGCGGATACGGGACCCCGGCATCGTGTAAACTGTCGTGTCGCTCGAGAAATTATAGCGTTCGAGAGTCCTTTGTCCTAGACACGCGATCGGCACGCGATCTCTCCTTCGGCCGCGGTCGCGTTATCGCGAGCGGTCCTAAATCGGGACAGGAAACGTCGACGGGATTTCGCAGAAACGACAGATTCTGACGCAACGTGTCCACAATGCGGCTATCAATCCCTTCCTACTACTTGCCGTCTATTTACTTGGCATGGGGAACCTATCCTTGACAAGCGCATGCTTCGAATGACGCGTGTCGCGTGTCGCCGCGGTATGTTATCGGGGAAAGAAATCGGACGCGGCCGTGTGTGTGTGTTCCCGATCGCGCGGAGCTCTCGAATTTTGAAAATTGTGAAATCCCGAGTCACTTTCCGCCCCGGCGGCACGTTCTAGCCACGTGTCGGCCAGGTGTTTCTGGAATGGCAACCGCCACCCGTGAACAAGGATCGAGGGAGCGCATACGAAACAGGCAGGATCGTGCACGGAATAACTCCTGCGTCTCCGTCGTAGGCGTGTCTAGCGAAATTCTTTCATCTCGCGAGGTTCAACCAGCCGAAACGAGCGCAACTTTATGCGAAATCCAATCGTCGGCGCGCGATACGCGAAGGACGAAGGATCGCAGCCGCGACGAGCGATGGTCGTCGACGTTGCCGTAGGCGCGCGCGGAAAATTAAGAGCTTCGTCCTGTCGCGAACAATCGATTTGTCGCGGTTCTCGCGGTCGTACGAATAACAATCGAATTCAACGACATTCAACGAATGGAAAAAGAAGACAATGGTGATACAGTAATGTCTCCCTAACTGACGCTCCGATTGTGCAGAAAAATGGAGAATTTGAGAAGATGAGATACGATTATTCGAGCCTTGCGGCTCGTTCTTATAGTTGTTGACAATCGGCAGCTATAAAAATGAGCCGCGAGGCTCGAGTAATCGTATCTCCTTTTCCCAAATTGTCCGTTTTTGTGTACTGTAGCTGAGCTCGATTAGGGAGAATTTTCTGTACATAATTCGACATCGATCACTGCTTGTTTCTATTTCGTTCTGTATACGACGCGACGGCAAATTATTCATTAAAATTCTACCGAATTCTAAGGAGATTAGAATCGCATTGAATTTTTGCTGCGATAGAATCGCATAGAGAGAGAGAGAGAGAGAGAGAGAGAGAGCTCCGATTTTATATATAAATCGTGTGGAACGCGCTTGTCTAAATAAGTGTGCTTGTCGTGAGCTCTTCTCAAACAAAATCGTACAGGATTGCAGTAAATTCTCCCTAATTTTCCTTCAGCTTGTAAACAGAAACGGACAATTTGGGACGAAGAGATACGATTATTCGAGCCTTGCAGCTCGTTCTTATAGTTGTTGTTGACATTCGAAACCATAAAAAGGAATCGCGAGGCTCGAACAATCGTATCTTCTTCTCTCAAATTGTCCATTTTTGTGGACGATGTGAGCGTCGTTACTGTACACTTATACAAGGAGAACGATGACAATAGAATGGAAGAAACGAGAGCCTCCGATGCGCGCTTAACGCTCATTTATCTCGTACCCGCGCGAGGACACGCGATAACGAAGCTGCAGCGATTGCATCGCGATCGCGAAGACGCGCCTGCCGCCATGATTCACCTCATTAACATACGCTCGATCCACGCTTCGTCTCCTCCGACCCGCGAAACCGCGATTCCGCTTCGGAAACATTCGGTCGACCGACGCACGAATCTCGTTCGAAATTGGACCGATAACGCTTACCTTCTACTTTGCTCGCCTCCCTCTAGCGATGCGACTTTCCACCGAAGCAAGGACCGTCGAGAAGCTGACACCAAGTAGCAAGAGAGCTGCATGGGGCCGTTGTATATATGGCTCATGGGGTCCCAGGGTTCAAGTCCCGTGTCCCCCACTACTGAACGCCACTTGGCGAAAGTACTCGCCGATCGGTAATGTAATGTTCGACTTCGGGGCCCGCCTGTACCACCGGACAACTGCAGAAGGACAGTTTACCGTGTGCAGGATCCCGATGCACCGCGTGCAACCGGTAAACCGGCCGAGAGAGCTCGACGCCCGTTCGAAATTGCGATCCTCGAGGCCGGTACTTTCAAAAATTCGTTGACGTCGGACTGTCGCTGTCTCGAATGAAACTTCTATACAAAGAATTTCCAAATGGAGTCTTGAACGCTACGGTAGAACAATCAGTTCGTATAACCGGGTGGGTTCGTATAATAGGAGTTCGGTAATTATCCCCTTTATTTGTAACTTCTCGTTCAAATAACCAGAGTTCGGCGTTTGAGATGAATGAATTGTTCAGAGGAAACGTGCTGAGTTCACATTTGTTCACGTTTGGTATACGGTAAATTATTAAATTATTAAATTTAAATTATTAATTTATTTATTATTCAATTCCCTTAGCTTGGAAACAAAAATGGAGTACTTGGGAAGAGGAGGTTACTATTCGATCCTTGTGGCTCGTTTTTATAATTGTTCGCAATCGGTAACTATAATATTCAAATCGTTAATTTTTATATACAAGCTGAGAGTCGATTAGAGAGAATTTATCGTATTTAGGTGTTCGCAAAATTTTGTCCCAATAAATGGAGTTCTAGCGTATAGGGTGAAGGAGTCAATTACTGTTGGATGACCAGCTGCTGGACCTTTGGTTTGTTTTCTGATAAATTAATGAATTAATTAACTTTGTATTTTATCGAACAAGACTTATTACATTTTTTTTATTTTTCCATTCTCTTTATCTTTGAACGAGCATAAAGTTAATTATGCCCGAAAACCAGGCACAGCAATTGGTCACTCCACAGTAACCGGTTCCACTATACGATAATTTTAGCGATACTTCGATAAAATCTTGAAATTCCAAACAAAGACAGATATATCGGTGCTGAAGTAGCAAGACAAATGCTCTCTCGACTTTGCTGACACGGATTTATTGGTTTTCGAATCCGTCGATCACAGACATTTCCCAGATCGAACGATCGCGGGAACAGTGTTTGACGAAGTTCGACGCGTCGCTGACCCGGATGGCACCCCTAGCAATGCCCACGATTCGTAGAATTCGAAGACAATGGACGTAAACAGCATTCGATCAGATACATACTCGGGGAAACTGTTCCTTTTCTTCTGGTAATAAAAGAGACGGGAAACGAGCGACGAGCGACGAGCGATCGCCAAAGCAGCCAGTCACGATCCGCGCATAAATTCGAGCATCCTGGGAAATGGCAAATAAGGCAGCGTGCTGTCCAGGTGTTTCGATCGGTGGTTGATAGACGAGCACGCACCGATCGCTGTGTCACGAGAGCTCGTTTCCACAGTTGGGTGACACGTGCTAATCACGCGATCCGGCTACTTATCGAAACCGCGAGTGCCATTTATCGGAGCTGTAATGGAAACTCCATCGATCGCTGCGACGGCAAGATCAATGCCGACTAATCGGACGATGAAAAATGTTCGTCGGCGACCAAAACATCTCCACAAGTTGCATTCGTAATGCGCGCGCGCGCGCGCACTAATTTACTCGCGATCGGCAGCTTTCGCCGCGAAATTTGAACCCGATACAGCGACAGCGTTTTTACTTACTTCATTATTAATCAATTAACGACCGAGGTAGGAATTTCATTTCGTAGAGTACGAATTTAATTGCTAATCACAATTCACGATCGAGGTAATCGTTCGTTACGGCTAATGATTCGAGCGATTCATCGTTGATTATTCTTACCTAATAATTTATTTATCGTAATTATTATCTACCGGCAAATGGGCCGGAAGCGCTATAGCATCGTACGTATCGCGCGACTGTACCGGTAACGATGCAACCGCTGGAAATAAGTTTCCGATCGGACACGTTGGTACCAAATTTATCGTAAACATTTATTATTTCGAAGCGTCGAGTAATATCATATTATATATCATAATATAATATAATATTAACACTATGCCGTCCGGTGGCACCGCGCTGGTGCCATGCAAAAACTATCCGTTGTATGCCGGTGGTACCACTTTGGTGCCATTTTTAAAAAACTGAAATAACATTTGAACTATATTTCTTGGGTGTTAAAAGGCAGCAAACTAACTACAGCACTGTGCTTATTTAACTAAGAATTAAGTACGAAAATTCTTGGATGACATATCTTTATTTTAGGAATTTATATTATCGCCATCTTCGAAATTTTTTTTTAAATCTAAAATTTCCAAACTATCACGCCGGCGTCAAACAGAAGAATCATATCTAAGATCTGCGGACAGCATGGTGTTAAAAGTAACGAGGAATCAAGGGCAGCCTGATATAAAGCAAATAACGACTCACGCATATAAGAAAACCGTATACGTATATTATATCGTTATATATATTATATATACATATATTATATACACTAGCACTGACACTTTAACAGTATGCCGTCTGCAGATCTTAGATATGATTCTTTCGTTTGACTCCGGCATAATAGCTTGGAAATTTTAGATTTAAAAAAAAATTTCGAAGATAGCGATAACATAAATTCCTAAAATTAAGATTAAGAATCATTAAGATAAGAATTATATATTAAGATAAGAATCATATCTAAGATATATATTATATATACGTATATTATATACACTAGCACTCTGACACTTTAACACTATGCCGCCCGCAGATCTTAGATACGATTCTTTTGTTTGACGCCGGCATAATAGCTTGGAAATTTTAGATTTTAAACAAAATTTCGAAGATGGCGGTAACATAAATTCCTAAAATTAAGATATGTCATCCAGGAATTTTCGTACTTAATTCTTAGTTAAATAAGCACAATGCTATAGTTAGTTTGCTGCCTTTTAACACCCAAGAAATGTAGTTCAAATGTTATTTCAGTTTTTTAAAATGGCACCAAAGTGATACCACCGGCATACAACAGATAGTTTTTGCATGGCACCAGCGTGGTGCCACCGGACGGCATAGTGTTAATATCGAAGTGTGCAGTCCACAAGTGGAAAATTTAGATCCCCAGAAGCCTAAACTCGGGGACTTCGGTTGCAAAAATATCCATTTTGCAGTTATTGCGGAGATATTCGAATTCTATCATTTCATCAATCTATTCGTGGAGATTTATACGCGATTCACGTTTCATTCATCCTAGAACACCAAGAACAAAAGNTTGGAAATTTTAGATTTTAAACAAAATTTCGAAGATGGCGGTAACATAAATTCCTAAAATTAAGATATGTCATCCAGGAATTTTCGTACTTAATTCTTAGTTAAATAAGCACAATGCTATAGTTAGTTTGCTGCCTTTTAACACCCAAGAAATGTAGTTCAAATGTTATTTCAGTTTTTTAAAATGGCACCAAAGTGATACCACCGGCATACAACAGATAGTTTTTGCATGGCACCAGCGTGGTGCCACCGGACGGCATAGTGTTAATATCGAAGTGTGCAGTCCACAAGTGGAAAATTTAGATCCCCAGAAGCCTAAACTCGGGGACTTCGGTTGCAAAAATATCCATTTTGCAGTTATTGCGGAGATATTCGAATTCTATCATTTCATCAATCTATTCGTGGAGATTTATACGCGATTCACGTTTCATTCATCCTAGAACACCAAGAACAAAAGACCCGACCGTAAACACCGATTTCTCGCGGTCGAAGGGACAATGCGAAGATATCGGACGCGTGACTAATTATTTCTGAATAAGACAAGCGTGCGTTATCTTTCGTACGCGGCTACGAACGAACGAACCGCTGGTTACGATACCAACGAGCACGAGCCAATCAAAGCTCCGGTTGATTTTATTTCGCGTTGATTTTATTCGTGCGCGGCCGTTGGTTATGCACAAATTCGATGTCTCGCCAATCACGGTTTTATTGCGACAAGATATTTATGTACAAAGCAAAGCGCGCGCGCGCGCTCGCGCGAACACGAAAGCCGCCGCGGGCGATCGAGATGAAGAGCTCCGAGGCCGGATCTTTATCGTTTCGCGGAAAGAAAACCCGTTAGACATTTGTTTATTCGGTTATTCGCGCGTGCCGCAGGAGTGGCAGAATCTTGGCAGTGGTCGCGAATCGCTGACAGCTTATCGGGGAAACGCGGCCCGATAACCCCGCGGTCGCGCGAATCGGCGAACAATATTCTTGGGAAATCCAGAGTACATGGTTTAGCATACAATAGAGTAGAGGGAGGTCGCGACGTTTCGACCGACCGTGCGCTAATTATACGGTTAACTTACATACTAGGTGGGACGAGCGACCGTACGACCGTTAACGTTGGGATCGTTAAGCTCGAAGTTTTACAAGCGTACTTTTGATTGCGCTTTAGAAGACCCGGGCTTTCGCGAGCCGCTCCTATTGTTCGGGGCCCCGGTGTTATTACCCGGAGCCTCGTTTACGACCCATAAACGGTCGTACGCTCGCGCGGGTCAAACGAAGGATTAATTCCTTCGTTGACGCCGGTGAAGAAGAAACCCTGGCGCTCGATTATCCGGCGCAATAAATTCATAATAAACTTCGGATTCGTACGTGTTAAAAGATAATACTCTTCTTCGCTGTTGCGATTAATGCGATAAACCGGACGCACGGAAATTCCGTGCTCCTTCGCGCAATCGGTGCTTCGAGGCACGAACGTATTCTTTATCGTACGGTCCCAGAATACGAGGACTTTAGAAGCATCCGGTTACTTTTGCTTAGAATTTCTACGATTTGCATTTGGTCGAAGCGCCGATACTGTGCGAAGGGAGTCACGGCCACGATGATCGCGGGTCGGTGGATCGTTCGTCATATAGACTCGATGGGGATGTAGCACATCCTTCTGAACAGCAGAATCGGGAAGTTCGGTAGAAAGAGGATGAACAGCAAGACCAACGGCGACAGCAGCAGCAGGATACTGGCGTACATCACCAGCCACCATACCGACGATATGCCCAGCACCGGATCCAACATCGTGAAAGGTCAATCTTCGATCGAGGTCATCGTCCATCCATCGTCCGGCGATCACTCAACGTCGCAGCCTCTGAAAATGCCACGCGTTAATTGAAAATTCCTGACTCGGTAATCTTCGATGATAAATAAGACAGCGTGTCACGGCATGGATCGATATCCGAGTATGTATCGTTAACCCTTTCGCGTCGAGCGTCGTATTCAGGGTGTCCCAAAAATGTCTCGCAATCCGGAAATGACGGGTTCCTCGGATCATTTGAAGCAACTTCTTCCTTTACAAAAATGTTCTCCGAGGCACCGTTAACGAGTTATCAACGAAAAACAGTGACCAATAAGAATCGAGTACGGCTGACGCGAGGCGGCCCAGCCAACCAGTGCACGAAGCCCAGTTCCGCTCATTGGCTCGGTCGCCTCGCGCCAGCTGAGCTGGGATTCGACCGCTCGACCGCTGGCGCCGTTGGCTCGGTCGCCTCGACCGCTGGCGCCGTTGACTCGGCCGCCTCGCACCAGTTGAGCTGGGATTCGACCGTTCGACCGCTGGCGCCGTTGGCTCGGTCGCCTCGCGCCAGCTGAGCTCGCCTTTCATTGGTCACTGTTTTCGGTTAATAACTCGCTAATGGTGCCCCGGAGAAAATTTTTGTAAAGGAAAAAGTTGCTTCAAATGACCCGAGAAACTTTTGGATTGCGAGACATTTTTGGGACATCTTGTATATGCAGTATTCGCGGTACGAATGGAAAGATTGCGATGTTGGCCTTTGTATAGATCCTTGTTTCCAAATATATCACACAGAATTATATTATTAGTGTTTACATATTATTATATTTTAATAATTTTTGTCTCGTTATTAATTATATTAAACATCCAATCGTTAGGCTTTGTACTTATATAAATACCTGTGTTTTACCTATAATTTTGTAAGTCTTTTTAAATTAAAAATGTAAATATACTTGTTACATTAGAGCAACGATTGTTTTATTCGACACAGTTATTATTTAAGACTTGGGACAACATATATACAGAAACCACGCACACTGTGCATATTTCCGGAGCGAGTTTCCGTTCGGTGACGGTACTTCGGCGGACGGAGCTGCCGTAGCGAAAGGGTTAAAGAACAGCTACGGACGTCGCAACAAGGGAAGCGTCGATCGTTTGCGACGGTAACAAGACGGTTACGACAAACTCCTGGAATAAAAGCGGGGCGAACTTTCCCGTCCTCGAATGGATAATAACGGCGATTGCGATGGATCGCGTCGGATAACGACGCCGCTGTCCGTGCACCCTCCGCGGACAATTGACACGCGCACCCGAGTGTAACGTGGCCGTGCGCCGCGCCAGGTGAATCCGTTTCCATTTTACCTGGAAGCCGACACTTTTTGCGATCAGACCCTCGTGTTTCCGGGTACCATGTGCTCAGTAATTTTTCCCAGAAATGTTCGGAGGTCGGAATCGATAGATCTGTGAATACTGAATCGCGATTCTTCGAATCTCGCGGCTCAGTTTTTTTATGGAAACTCGGGGCAGTGGGTGAAAAAAAGGCAGCGGCCGGCATGCCGGTGTACATTAACTCTTTACACTCGAAGCCATTTTAACCCTGGACGAGAGGCGACTCTCGGTCGCCACGGTGTTTAGCGCGGCAGGACGAATGGCGAGTGAGAGGTGACAATCGGTGTTTATGTTAGATATTTGCAAAAATCGCCTCGTCCTGCTACCTGGCTCGACCGAGAAAGTCGTCGTCCGCTAAGGGTTAACTGTAAATCTAAATGAATTTTTCTGACTTATGATATTTCCATTTTATACGACAAAGTGCATTTTATACACACGAAATTTATAGTCTTGCGACTCGTACAGCGATTAGACTTTTAACCATTTTTTTACGTCTAGACTTTTATAATATAAAAATTATCTTGGAGCATGATGTAACAATTTTTTAATGGTGCCTCAGAGTCATCACTCGGGCATAAAGGGTTAATATGATAAATTCTCCGTAATTGACGTTCGGATCGTACGCAAACATGGACAATTTGGGAACAGCAGATGCGATTATTGGAGCCTCGCGGCTCGTTTTTATAGTAGTCCGACGATCTGTAACTATAAAAATGAGCCGCAATGCTCGAACAATCGTACCTCCTCTTCCCAAATTTTTGTATACAATCTGAGCGTCGATTAGAACAAATTTACTGTACGTGGTAATGCTCGAATAAAAACGATGACATAACTTTTCTATTTCTAATTTTTTGCCACGATTCGAAGGCGAATCGGAGGCCACGTGCTGCGATTCGAAGACAAACAGACCATTTCGTATTGTCTTCCGGAAGTTTACGTCGCGTGCCGCATCACACGCTTGATCGATCCCGTTGATCCTTAGCATCGACGTAGCAATAAATTACATAGACGTGAAACTGGCACAGGAAAATTCGCGGCAATCCGAAATTTGGCATTTCCGGGAGAAATTACTGTACATCGACCTCTCGACGATTCTCGACGCCTTCGTTAAAATTTATCGTCTGCCGGAAATCCTCGCCGATGAGTCCCCAGCGAATTACGCGGGTCCCAAAGTGACACCAAGTGAGTGTCGGCGAATCGATGAGACACGATCGAGCGTTATCGGACGTTAAGGCTAACCTAGACTTTCGCAGGATCCCGTCACCGAAATTAAACGAGGCCTGCGCGCAACTGCGCGGCAACCTTCTAAATTTTTTCTCTCGCCGCGTAACCAACGTTTCGCGCTCGCTACTGGTTTTCAAGGATACTTCTTGCCCGTTGCATCACGCCGCGGGAAAGGTGAACCAGTCTTCCGTACAATGTACGGAATAATCGTCGTCGTATTGCGCAGCGAGCCGCGTGCTGGCCACGTGTTACGAATAAAACGAGCCCGTTGTTTCCCAGGTACACACGTACATACCATGCATACGTATGTTGTGTAGTTGTCGGGTTTCAATAAGGAGGATCGCGGCGGCGAGGCAACCAAACGCGCGCGAGCTGCGCGACCGTCGAGCTGCTTACTCGCTCGGTTGCGCAATACAGCCACCGGTTCCTTTTGTAACGATTGTGTAATAGGACATCGTCGACTCTACCAGCTCCCGGCGAAGTTGTTGTCGCCGCGCCGTGTTATAGCGGAGCGATCGCGCGAACGTTTTCATCCGCGAGCATGCCTTAGACAAAGAGCACGCGCTTCCGGGTGTTCCAGTTTCGGTCGTCGTCCGCAGCTTTTCGAGCCAGGAGATTACGTACGAACGGAATACAGTAATGTCTCTCTAATCGACGCTCAGATTGTGCAGAAAAATGGACAATTTGGGAAGAGGAGACACCATTGTTCGAGCCTTGCAACTCGTTTCTATAGTCACTAATTGTCAACAACTATAAGAACGAGCAGCAAGGCTCGAATAATCGTATCTCTTCTTCCCAAATTGTTCATTTTTCTGCACAATCTGAGCGTCAATTAGGGAGACACTACTGTACGCCGCTTTAGAAATCGATCGCGTACGAGCTCCTCTAAAAAATGACGTGCACAGGATGACGCACGAGAATCGTCCGTTCGGTTATCGGCGAGAAATGGTACACAAAAATGGACAATTTGCGAAGAGCAGATACGATTATTCGAGTCTTGTTGCGCATTTTTATAGTTGCCGATTGACAACAATTATAAAAACGAGGTGCAAGCATCGAATAATCATATCTCTTCTTCCCAAATTGTCCATTTTTCTGCACAATCTGAGCGCCAATTAGGTAGACATTACTGTACGCCGCTTTAGAAATCGATCGCGTACGAGCTCCTCTAGAAAATGACGCACACGGGATGAACGCACAAGAATCGTCCGTTCGGTTATCGGGGAGAAATGGTAGGATTTATTGGATAGCGTGATGCAGGAAATACAGTAAATTCTACCTAATTGACGCTCGGATTGTACACAAATATGGACAATTTGGGAAGACGAGATACGATTACTCGAGCCTCGCGGCTCATTTTTATAGCTGCCGATCGTCAACAATTATAAAAACGAGGTGCGAGGCTCGAATAATCGCATCTCTTCTTCCCAAATTGTCCGTTTCTGTTTACAAGCTGAAGGAAAATTAGGGAGAATTTACTGCAATCCTGTATGATTTTGTTTGAGAAGAGCTCACGACAAGCACACTTATTTAGACAAGCGCGTTCCACACGATTTATATTTAAAATCGGCGCTCTATACGATTCTATCGCAGTAAAAATTCAATGCGATTCTAATCTCCTTACAATTCGGTAGAATTCTAATGAATAATTTGCCACCGCGCCATACAGAACGAAATAGAAACCAGCAGAGGTCGATGTCGAATTATGTACAGAAAATTCTCCCTAAGCGAACTCAGGTGGAGACACGATTATTGGAGGAGACACGATTATTCGATGCTTGCACCTCGTTCTTATAACTGTTGGCAATCGGCAACTATAAAAACGAGCAGCAAGACTCGAATAATCGTATCTGCTCTTCCCAAATTGTCCATTTTTGCGTACAATCCGTGGGTCGATTAGGGAGAATTGATTGTAACGGGCGTGCGAGAACAAGACCGATCCCAAATCCGAAGTCCAACGTTCAAGGAAATCGTTCGATCGACCGAAAGCAGGCAACTTCGTCCTTGCGCGCCGACTATGATAGTCCAATAACAGGGAGACCGGTCGAACGAGATGGGAAAAAAAGAACGTGACGAAACGAGACAGCCGACTCGAAAGCGAGAGCGACGATCGTTCGATCGAAATACGGTAGATCACGAAGACGGCGAGCGCGCCCGTTCGACCGCGAGAGCCAGCGAACCCGCGGTGCACGCGTCCATCGCGCTCCAATCCACGCTGACCGCGATTCCGCCGCGGAAAGTGAAATTTTCACGATTGCGTAATCGTGGCATAATAGAATTATCCGGTAGAGGCGGTGGGCACACTATTATGGAGCGCGGGGCCATTAATGAAACACCGCGAGGCGGGTCGGCGTATGGGAATTATCAAACCGATCACCGTTTCTCCCGTTTCCGTTCACGTTCGATTTTACAGTAGCGTTTAAATCTTTCAGATTTATGATCGCCGACGTGCTCCGGCAGAAGCAGTCCACCGAATTATAACAAGCGGCGAGCGCGTGCAACGCTTTCTCTAGAAACTTTAACGTTCCTGTTTAATTGCCGCAGAAACCTCTTTCTCAAGCCACACTCGTCGTCGATGACGGTGCCTTGACGTTTAATCGAGAGATTGCTACAACCGAGTAAGTATTCCTACGGTTACTTATTTACATGCGGTTACACCGTGATATGTAATCGCCTGCAAACACGTGCAGACGCCGATCGGATTCTCGCGCGAAAAATCGATTTTCCGCGCGATCATTCATGCACCGTGCAGTTGCCGAGTCCTTTGGCGAGTTTGCTTCTAGGTCAAAGTAAAAGTGTGGCCGCAAGCCGACGAATGAACGAGATTTTCGATCCGTTCCCCGTCGCCGCGTTGTCCTTGGCCCGGTAAAAATTCAGGAGACCGGCGCGCCGCACGCAGCGCGGCGAAGTACGGCACAAGCGTTTCGCAGCGATCCTTCGACGCCTCGTTTAATTATCTCTGCGACGACCTTTCCGGGGGAGCCTTTTCGCGGCGAAAGAGACCTCGTCGAGGATCGTGTGTCGAGGCAACTTCTGGCGGACGATCGTGTCGGGCATTAGGACGAGCAGCGTGCTGTCTCCCGCGAAGCGTTCTCGGTCCATCGAGGCTGCCTACCTTTCCACGATCCGGCACGATCCACATCACAGAACAAACGGCGGTCGCCTTGAATATATCGCACGCAAGGGCTGCACCACGATTTACTGCGCGATTTTTCGACGACGGCGCGATAGATCGGCGCGTGCAGATCTTTTCTCGCGTGTGTTCAGCCGCTTTCCGCGGACTGAGCGCGCGCGGCCAGGCGCCCATGCTTCGATGTCCCCGGTACTTTCCCTTTCTTTCGGCGCTTCGAAACAGAGTTACGTCGATTGAGTCACCTGGTAAACGCTTCGTCGACCTCGGACCAACGTGATAACCGCGCCGCAAACACCGTTAAACTCTGGATCGTTACGATTCGATCGTGCTCCAGCCTCGAACACTCTTTTCGACGGCCAGCGATTTCGCGTTTCAGTTCGAATAACCAATGGTAAAACAAGATTTATTCGTAAACTTTGAATAACGATTATAGTTTCGAAACGTTTGTTTGTTCGTTCTCGATAAATGGCCGTTTTTATTGAAACCATATTTATTCGAATAATATAAATAATATATATTATTAATATATATTATAATAATATATTATAATAATTATATTATATATATATATATATATTATTTTATATTATATTGTATTGTATTGTATTGTATTGTATTGTATTGTATTGTATTGTATTATATATTATATTATATTGTATTATTATATATTATAATAATATAAATTTCCGTTATGTTAAGCCCTTAAAAGCTTTTAATTGTCGTCGGAAATGCGTTGAAACATTATTTTTCATTCAACTCAAAACTAGCGTTAATGATCGGGAAGTGTTCATAATGATACTGCGCATCGTTTTCATACTACAAGTTGCCGTAACTATGTCCGTTTAATGTTATAAACGATTTTCTATTTTATTTTTATTTTATTTTCAGTATTGAATATTGGAGCACATGATTCGTGCCGGTTCTCCTGTATGGAGCATCGTCAATTTCGGTATGAATTTTCTGCTGCGTACAAATAACGCCAACCCATGCAGTGGCTAGACGTTCAAATTGTTAGACAAAATCGACTCTTGGTAATTCGTCTACCAGTTTCAGCATTTTGCCGCTACATCCAACGGCGCTGTATATATATATATATATATATATATATATATATA